AAAAAGTGGGGAAGAGCCACGAGCCACGCCAAGGGCCTCGGCGACTTGCAAGCGACACGTTGTGGCCGCTCCAGTGATTTCTTTACGCAAGCCGGATAGCGAAACGGCTGCCACAACCCTGACAAGTTTACGCCAACGCTTATCGTAATAGTATAATAATATACAGTAATAATATAATAATTAATAATATAATATGCGTAATAACATGCAGGTACAGAACATCTCTAATCAATGCATAAAGCATAGCGTGTTCTTCATATCTCTGTTCTGCAATTACTACGGGATGTAGGGACGTCAATATATATGCACAAACAAATACACATTGTATATCTATATCTGTGTGTGTGTGTGTGTGTGTGTGTGTGTGTGTGTGTGTGGTGTGTGTGTGTGTGTGTTTGTGTGTGTGTGTGTGTTTGTGTGGTGTGTGTGTTGTGTGTGCGTGTGCGTGTGCGTGTGCGTGTGCGTGTGTGTGTGTTTCATATGTGTGTGTTTATGCTTTATGTGTATGTATATATGTTATATGTGTATATGTGCATGTATATATATATATATATATATATATATTATATATATATATATATATATGTATGTATGCATATGTGTATGTGTGTACATATATGTGTATACGTGTGTGTGTGTGTGTGTGTGTGTGTGTGTGTGTGTGTGTGTGTGTGTGTGTGTGTGTGTGTGTGTGTGTGTGTGTGTGTGTGTGTGTTGTGGTGTTTCATGTGTGTGTGTTTATGCTTTATGTGTATGTATATATACGTTATATGTGTATATGTGCATGCATATATATATATATATATATATATATATATATATATATATATATATATATATAATATACATAATATGTATGTATATGTGTATGTGTGTACATTATATGTGCATACGTGTGTGTGTGTGTGTGTGTGTGTGTGTGTGTGTGTGTGTGTGTGTGTGTGTTGTGTGTGTGTGTGTGTGTGTGTGTGTGTGTGTGTGTGTGTGAGTGAGTGACCTTTGTGCATAATAGCATACCAATGAAAATGTCTGTGCGTAAAGATAAGCAATTCGTGTATAGATTGTTCGTCTGAATGTGCGCAACTGTGCACGTGTGCGTATTCAACGACATGTCGGCTGCAGGCTGCGGTCGCCCATTCCCGTGCTCGCGTCCACATCAATCGGGAGACCAGTCCGCCCTTGCCATATATTTGCGCCTCCTCGTGCGCCACGGACGAGTCTCCAGGCCGGCCGGACGGCGCATGCGCACGGGGCGCTTCGCCTCGCTCTCACGAGGTCCCGCGCCCGGCACTTGCTTAGCGAGCGTCCCGGGATCCGCCAAGCGCAGGACACTTTCAGGAGCCCGGCCGGCCGCTGCGATACCTCGGCTAACCTTCCCCCAGCCAGGCGGCGCGGACACGCGGCTCGCCTCGCCCGCCGCGACGTCAAGCAGGCAAGTCGGCAAATACCTGGAAATTTCGCGCGCCTCCCTCGCCCGACCGCTCACTCGCGCCTGCGTTGCGTCCATCTGCCGGTCGAGAAGTCAGGGTAGATGTCCCTCCCTTCGCGACATATGCGACGCCCTAAGACAACGCCGCGACAGCCCAAAAAACATCTGCCCGTGCCAGCGCACACGACCGGATGTGCCGAGGATTCCACGCTCATAAACCGGCGACCGCCCGGCCCCCGAACTGCATGCAGCACCTCCGCGCCACTCGTCGGCTCTTCATTCATCAGGCGGTGGCCGGGCGCGAGCTGAGCGGCGGACTGGTGCTCCTGGCACGGCAGACGTCCAGCGTCGCCGGGACAAGCGGCAGGCGGGAGCGGGTCCTCTTGGTGGAGTAAGCGACCGGCGGTGCCTGTCAGTCGCTCTCACGCCCCGTGGGAAATCTGCAGGCCCTCCAGGGGGCGGGACTTCTGCCTCGTCTCGCGAAAATGCTCCTGTCATGGGCGTCTTGGTTATAAATAAGGAATGGGGCGAAGGAAAAGCAATCGAGAAGTAAAATAACAAAACAGAAAAGAACGAACCAAACAAAAAGAAAGCGCCGCGCTACCAGTTTCCTGAAGTTCTACTTTACGATAGTTTCGGGTCAGTCGAGCTACGCGCGCCGCGCGGACGCCAGCCTGACTCTCTCTCTCTCTCTCTCTCCACACACACTAAATATATATATGCACACAAACCACACACACACACACACACACACAAACACACGTATGCACATATATGTACACACATATATGTATATGTATGTCTATATATATATATATATATATATATATACAATATATAAATATTTATATATATATATATATATACATACATACATGCACATATACACATATAACATATATATACACACACAAAGTATAAACACACACATATGAAAACACACACACACACACACACACACACACACACACACACACACACACACACACACACACACACATCATTATATATATATATATATATATATATATATATATATATATATATATACATATATACGTATATATGTATATGTATATATTACACGTATATGTATATACGTATATGCACACAAGTAATGTATGTACACACACACACATATATGTATATGTAACACAATATATATGTATATATGATATATATACCATATATGTATATATATACGCATATAATGTATACATGTATATATATACACATATATATGTATACTGTATATATATACACATATATATGTATACATGTATATATACACACATATGTATACATGTATCACACACACGTATATATGTATATATATACACACATATGTGTATATGTATACACACACGTGTATGTATATAAACACACATGTATATATACACACATGTATGTATTTATAGACACATGTATGTATATAATGCACTCATGTATGTATATATACACACATGTATGTATATATGCATCATGTATGTATATATACACACATGTATGTATATATGCACTCATGTATGTATATATGCACTCATGTATGTATTATATACACACATGATGTATATATACACACATGAATGTATATACACACGTATGTATATATACACACACGTATGTATTATACACACATGTATGTATATATACACACATGTATGTATATTATACACACATGTATGTATATATACACACATGTATGTATATACACACATGTATGTATATATACACACATGTATGTATTTATAGACACATGTATGTATATATACCACATGTATGTATATATACACACATGTATGTATATATCACACATGTATGTATATATACACACATGTATGTATATATACACACAT